TATCTTATCAAAACAAAATAAACCGTGTAAAGTCCAGTTCTAAAAAATGTTTTACCACAAGTGTGGGAGAGCCATGCTTCGGCTCGAATGGGTCGGCTCGACCGGAGTGATACCACGGCCTCACAGAAAACCGCCGTAAAACAACCACAGCGTTGTGTTTCGCCGTGTGATTGAGGTTATCGGAGGCCCAGTCGTTCCCCTCCCCTAATCTCAAAATTACCAAATGCCTAATCCTCAAACAGTCTGCAACGCACTCGTTACTACTCAGTGGTTGCGGGTGTCCGTGGCCGTTGCTGATTGCTTAACATCAGGTAATCCGTCTGCTCGTTTGCCGACCTATCACATAAAAAACCACTTCCAAAACACGTGCGAAATATTAATTAACCTGCCGTACACTAGATCCGTATCGTTCTGACGTTACCTTCCCACGTCATCGATTCATACGCAGTGCAAATTTGCATACTTAAAACAGCACCTGTGTCACGTAAACCAATTTTCTCAGTCGAGGATCAAAAATCACCAAGGCTACTAAACAAAAATAGCTTATCAAAATAAAAAAGCAATATAAACGAAAATTATTCGAGAAATTTCTTACCAAATCAAAAAGAACATTTAAATTTTATTAACTAGCGTGTTTCGGCCCGTTCGCTAGGACTTTTGAAGACCAGAAACTTCCCATATCCAGCCAGACACAGATTAAATCTAATGACAAATTCCAATTAAAAACAAGAAACAGTTTCCATTGATACGGCCTTAAAAAGTAAAATAATATGTATAATGTTTAATATTATTTGTCAATAAAACTACATTCATGTTTGAAGATAAAGACAACACATAAGTATGTATTAGTGACACAGTAGAAATTATAACATCCTCATTCAGTCTTTTTCAAAATGAAAAAGGCATTTACATTCTATTACAATAATATGATTTTTACCACACAACAGATAAAGAAGAGTTTTACCAACAAATGCAGGTCACTAAACACTATTCTGGAATGAGTTCCAAAAATAAATTTAGAACTCATATTTCTGTCATAGTTATGAAATGAAAAGAAATAACAGCCAAAGAAATACATTTAGATCTAGTAAGAAAAGTACGTACAAAAAGTAATATTACTACTAAAGAAACAAATGTCAAGGACAAAATATGTTAAAATAACAAATATTAGCCTGTATGTATATCCAGACAATTCTGAAATCCATCCAATCCATTCAAAGCCATCTAAAAGTGATAACATGATAATGACATTGAACGGAATATACATTGCTTTTAGAATAAAACCATTTCTTGATATTATCATAGAAAAATTGGCAACTCCAAACGTTGATCAAAGTTTAACAATCAATCCAAAACACAGTTTTCAAGTTTTCGCTTATTTGGAAAAATGTTTAAAAACTGTTTGTAATCCATTCGTACTTAGAAAGTCAATGGTAAGCATTCCATCCAAATGAGAAGGGTTGTCATTGGTAATCGTGCATCGCTGAAGTAATGTAAGCTTCTGTTTAATAAACAATATTATCTGTGTATTAATGTTGTTTTATTTCATTATATTTATCTAACCATTTAACCTTTACCCAAGGTGTTAGAACATCAGCCGAGGTTGCGGGGCAAACGCAATGAGGTACCGCAGCCTCGGCCTAGAGCAGGAGAAGCAACGAGGAGGTTTTTAGCCATTAATAGCCTGATACTCCCTCCCACCCGATCCTGGGCGGGTGATGACATTTTATGATTTTCCACTCAATAAATATTGTATGCTATCCGATCTATTATTATTTTCTTTTTACTGAATAGGTCGGCAAACGAGCAGACGGATTACCTGATGGTAAGTAATTAGCGCCGCCCATGGACACCCGTAACGGAGGAGTAACGAGTGCGTTGCCGACCTTTTGGGGATTAGGGTTTTGGAGATTTAGGGATTGGGAGGGATCCAGGAGGAGAAGGATTGGGTCTCCGGTAACCTCACTCACACGACGAAACACAACGCTGTGGTTGTTTCACGTCGGTATTCTGTGAGGCCGTGGTATCACTGCGGTCGAGCCGACCCATTCGTGCCGAAGCTTGGCTCTCCCACACTTAAAATTATTTATCTGATATAATCTCAAAACTATGATTATCTTCTTATGAAACCTAAACTCGGAATAACAATTTGCGAATCACACAGATTTACCTCGAGGTGTTGACCACGCAACACGTAATACGGTAGCCTATTGCCAGCCACTACATTAAACTTGCTGTCAAATGGATGAACTGTATAAAATGTGCTCATTTTTGAAAAAAAATTACAGATAAAGGACTTAGTAATAAATTTATCTTAATATTTTTCATTAATGTCTTGGCATATATGCATTTATATTGAATACTTTTTTACGAAAACAAAATTACTAGACAGCAAACGAGTTTCTGTATCAACAGATGGCAAGCAATCTGCGTTACACGCTGACACTCGCAACATCGCTCTTCTCTAGAAGCGACAAATGCATTGACACGCGCAAAAAAGGCATTGTTGGCCTTTTGGGATTTAGAGATTTACGAACTGGAGATATGGGGATTGTGGATAAGAGGGACGAGGATGTCATTCACATGGAAAAACACAAACTGGGATGTGGGTTAAAAGCGCTATAATGGACTGCGGTCCCAGTCCGGAGCAGCAGAAGGAACGAGTTTTTTTTTTGTGAGGGAAAAATCATCAAATGACTTCTCCCGCCCAGGGCCGGGCGGGAGGGAGTGTCAGAATCTTACTGACTAATAACCTCCTGTTCCTTCTCCTGCTTTGGGCCGAGGTCTCGGTGCCTCATTGCGCTTACCCCGCAATCCCGGCTGAACATCAGCCTTATAGGGTCCCATCTGTGTTAGTGATTGTCGTTCATTGTTTCATTGTTTCATTGACTCACGTCCCACCCAGGGCCGAAGACGACATTTGATAACTCTCCTCTCGCAAAATAAAAACATAACAGTAGGATTTTACGCGATATTTGTCACAAAGATAGATTACAATCTTGTATAACATACTAGCTGCTCTCTCGCGGTTCACCCGCTGCTCAGCTCCATTTAATCATATCATGATGTTTTATAGCCTATAGCACTCAGTAACATTGTAGCTATCTATCAGTGAACGAATTTTGGCAATTCGACCAGCGGTTCCAGAGATTACCCCCACATATAAACTTACAAACTTACAAATTTTACCTCTTTATAATATTAGTATAGATAGGCTGGTAAAACAAATGACAGAAATGAGACTTACATCACATCGCATCATCACATCTTAACATCATCAGCCTATAAGTGCCCAGTCCTGAGCAAAGGTCTCTTCTCACAAGGAGGTTTGAGCATTAATCAACACGCTTGCTCAAGGCGGATTAGCGATATCAAGTTTATAATTTGAAATTATAGTCCAGACTTCCTCCTTCCAGGTCAGATTTTGTCACGATGTTTGCCTTCACAACATGTCAGTCTATTTATCTTTTTTTAAAAAACGTTGCTCTACACTAGTATTTCCTCCTGCATCGTGGGTGCGTTTGCAAACATACAATTTCACATACACGTCACACCCAGAACAGCAACAACAATTTGTAGGTCACACAAAGAGTTGTTCCGTGCGGGAATCGAACCTGAACCGAACCCGCGACACGTTGCACGGCAGCCAGTTGCCCAGTCACCGCGCCAACCGTGCAGTCAATCAAAGTCAGTGGTGTCTAAATAATCATAGAAGTACATAAGTCGAAAAAAGTCACATTGGTACTTGCCAAGTTTCGAAACCGCACTCTCATGCATGAGAAGCAGGCCCTTAACTTCGGCCATCACGACTATTAATTGTCTTGTTCATTAGTCAGTCATTAGATAAATTGTAATGGAAGGAAAAACAAAACTTCAAACGTACCATTGTTTATTTCTGTAAAAAGGATTTATTTGACAATTGTAAATGTCGACTAATCTTTATATTATGTTCTAAATAACAAAAACAAGTCAACTTTTTATTGTTAGCAAATATTTATGAATTACAGCCGTGTAATACATTAAGAAAATTACCTGCAATAAACTATAAACTTTATTCATTTGAATTATGTTTGATAATTGCTTGAACAATTTTTTGGTAAATAATCAGAATTATTATGTGTGTATTTAATGAGATGACTTTATTTTATTTAAATAAATTTTATGATTTCATTTACTTACGTAAACGTACATATTTATTGAGTGAGGAATATATGTGAGACAATATAAATCATAATATCATATTTAAAAATAAATAAATAGTTATACAGAGCTGTCAAATGTTTTTTGTATCAATTGCAACATACAAAATGACTATGATACAATTAGGAATATGTTATTACTTGCAATAAATTCCAAATTAATTTCAATTGAAAAAAAAAACAATTCAAACTTAAGTTATTAAGACATATTTTGCGAAGACATTAATTTCTTAAACACACGGCATTGTGACTAATTCATGTACCGTATTGGCATTATCTTTGACACATTCTTTCTCTTACTATTTATAGAATATACAGCCAATTGATATTAATCGATTGGATACAAGATTCACATATAAAATTAATGCTCAAATACGTTTTTTTTAATAAAAAGTATTGAACATAAACTTCTAATGGCAAGAATTTGATTTTGGACAAATATTTTGATGATTTATTGTAACGTATTTATACATTTAGAATAGTTACAATGTCTAATTAAAAATTATGATTTGTATACATTGACGATTTTTGTATACTTAAACGTGATTTGGATACATTTTTTTTCAAAGATACAGTTTCGATAATAAATACAAACACGTTACTAAATGTCGTTCTCAAAGACTAATGATTGATTTGACTATGCCTTAGTAGCAATCACAATTTCTTAAGATCATTAAACTGACTCTGAATGCGGCAGTAAACATCAAAATATTTGTATCGGAAATATTGATCGCAATATTAAAAGTTTTTTTAATACAAATTGAACAATACTAGATGTCTAAGTACATGACATATGTATATATATAAATACTCGGTTTATTAACTTCTACATAATATTACAACATCTAAGATAGTAAGTACATAATCATAATATCCTGCATTACGTGGGTACACAAATACACAGTCCCAGATCATGTAAATGTATATATTATGTTAACAGATATACATACAAACAAATGCATAACTTCTTGAGAGCAAACAGAGATCATAATTTTGTTTCGAATTATCATAAAACCTAACGTTACTCTATACTGCATTGAAATATATTTAAATACATATCGTATACTACTACCTACTCATATTATTGCGAGATAACAAGATGAAACTACGATCAACAGTAAATAATCAACTTATAAGCGTATTCTGTTTTAGCTACAGTACATTACAACGTTACACAATAAATTAATAACACGACAATGTAACGCGGATTAAGTCTCTACACCTTAATCTCGGTACTATTTCGTGACTCACCGAAACGCGCAAAGAAACACAATTAACTGTCAAACTATAAACTAGTATCACACATTATTCCGCTGACATAAATAACACAACTTGGACACAGAATAATCACTTTTCAATAAACGGAAATAATTCACAAGTTTTGTACCAAAACAAATCCTTAATCGATTGGAAGGCCACCGCTATTCTAACACACTAGCTAATTAGTTTCGCTACGAACAATTAAAGCTTTTGCTCGACGACTTGCAGTCGAAGCCGCTCTATTACAATGTAACTCTAAATAGGCATCTAATCTATGCATCACATTACGTCATCCGCATTGACGTATGAGAGCACGGCATCTCAATTTATTTGACCAGTTCATACACAGTCTATACACTGGAACGTGATCGAAACAATGAACGGTAACGATGTACGATGTGGAGCATCCGAGCCCCTCGGCGCTCCCGCCGTCTGCCACCCTGGACAGCCAGGCGTCCCGTGCGCACTAGTGCGTCATAAGCTGGCGGTCGTACCGCCTCTGTTACTGCAGGGTCCGTCTCACTATTCTCGTCAATTCACTCCAACCGGTAAACACTTGCACTGTTTGACCTTCTGTAACCGCTTGCGTCTAAATGGTGGGTTCTGACCGGGGCAACGCAGAGTCACTGTCACCCAAGTAAACTTCTTAGGCCTACAAAACGAACAAGACTTGAAGGCTGGCTGCGGCCGGTCAGCGTTGTTGTCGCGTCGCCGCGGGCCTTTCGGTATGTAAAACGAGTTGCACTGTCCGTAGCAGAATTTGTTTATCACTGTTGTGGGCAGACAACCCGGTTCTCGGATTTTCTGAACTAGAGGCTCGGTTTTACACCAATCTTCCTTGAGATAATCTTTTTGGTTACGACCAAAGCGTTCTTTGACGATTTCAATATTTTCCTGAATTCGACTCCCGGGGGCAATTCCGTAGTATCATCTTGCTCAGGTAGGGACACCACCATACCCGTCTCAGAACTGCCATCTCCGAGTTCGTTTCTTTGCACAAAAGACGTAGAAGAGGATGCAGTGGCCTGTTCCGCCCGCTGTCTCTCTGCGAGGAACCTCTGCACTTGTTCGGTATCAATGATATCCAGGATCGAGTCGGTCGGGGTGAACGGCTTCCTGTTGCCGACACCGGCACCAGCACACACCCCGCACGTCGCCAGGATGGCTGCAGCCGCGAGCCAAATATGCGATTTCGATAAGTTCTCCATCTGTAACAATAAATTTAGTTATTAATAAAATTTATTAAATTCGCATCAATTAAATTGCTAGCGTTCAAATAAGGCGTCGCGTTTATTTTAGTTCGTAGGCTTCACTGGAGCGGATGTCGTAGGCTAAACTCACGTCGTATCTAGAGATGGGAGCCAACATGTCGTAGGCAGTGCGTCGGTGTAGTCGGTCCGCGAGCGGCGCGCTGTTTGCGTGTGCGCAGGGCCGGCCGGCGGAGCGGTAATGAGCACAAGCGCGGCTCAATGGACCACCGCTCAATGAACGAGAGATGAGTCACGCACCGCGCCTCCGCCACAGAACCGTTACTACCAGCCGCCGCTCACAGACACGACACCTCACACCACATGTGTTTCGGATTACTACGGTCGCTATACAAATCTTTGTAATCCTTTTTACAATGCACTTTCTTAATGGCGGTGTCGCACGGACATCTGTTTGCAAACAATTGTAAAACCTGCCTTATCAGTACCTTATTACCGAATTCGGGAATAGATAGGGTTCTGTATAGCCGATTTGTTTGTCAACTAAAAACTAAAGTATTGTATCAAAAGAGTAATTTACCACTTTGTAATTTTTTTATAATACACTAATTCTCTCAGTAACTCTTGTCTATAAAGCAATGTTCTGCTTTCGTATTGTAGTTTAATTAAAAAAAATGTTTACGGTAAATGTATAAAATATGTGTAGACAAAAGAAAGTTTTATCAAAATCTCTCTGTGAGGCAAACAATGATTAGGCAGTATACCTGTCGGCGAGTGAGCCCGCCAGGTACGATCGGAGAGATTTCCTCACGTATCGCGTTGTACGCGGCGCCAGGTTGGGTTCGAGGCGCCGGCGCACATGGTGCCCATCTCGAATCAACGCGCTTCCGCCCATTTGTGCGTCCCACAATGCCCATACAAACTTGAACGTATACCATCCACAACCTTCTGCGAAACGTAGGCGCTACGTGTGGGTGCCAATGTTCAATTACTATTTTTAACAATATACCTATTTTTCAAAAACCTCTTTGCTGTACCGACACCATTCTAAATTTAAAAATAGACAGGAAGTCCGTTGAATTCTAAATTTGTAATGGATACTTTCGCATGCCTTACATTTAAAACTATTTTTTATTTAAAACTTCGTGGACTAAAGAGGTTTCTGTTTATGTCGATAATGATAAATGGTAGTAATAGTAGGTAGCTTTGCGTATTTTAAAAAATAAATAATTTAATGACACGTTTAGTTAGTTAATTGAAAGAAAATATATCTAAATATAAGTTTCCTACACTTTATTGGTTTCTGTGAAGGCTTAATTAGAGGTTTGATTTATAATCAAGGCAATCAATCCATTATATTAACATTTAACTTGTGCAAATTGTACGCGGTATTTTAACATGAATATACATGTGAGAGGTTGACATACGTGTAAGACATATATATGTATGTGCGTTTGGAATGTTTACAATTATTTATAATATATTAATACAATTGGACATACACACCCATCACACCCAGACCCGGAACAACAATTTGTCGTTCGCGGGAATCGAACTCGCGACACGATGCACGGCAGCCAGTTAGCCAGCCACCGCGCCAACCGTGCAGTCCAATGATTGTAAAAATTTGTATTTTTACAATCATGGTATGAAGAATGATATCTATTTTTTTGTAAGAACGAGACCACGTTGTTGTTTTTTCTCCATAACGACTATTATCTGTGTCAATTTGTTTTTTTTAGTTGAAATCATTTTTTTTTTTTTTTAATCTTTATTTTATTAAAAGGGCTTTTTTCCATACAGAAGATTTCAGCCCTATTATTGTGTACAAAATTCAGTGCTTACTTATCTACTTATTAAACCATTTATAGGTTTAGCTAGATCTTAACTTTAAACATAAAATAATTAGACGATACAATTTTTTGGCCTCAGATGATAATGGTGACGCTAGCACACTATGATAAAAACCAATATCATAACTGTTAAAACTAAAATCCTGATATCTCTGAGACTCAATACGACGACACTCATACAAAATGTGTTGAACGTCCTCTACAACACCACACACAGCACAATTGGGTGATTCGACTTTATGCATCATGAATGCAAAACTATTGAGAGGCATATGTCCACATCGGAGCCTTAAAGCCGTGACGATTTCTTGCCTACTCATCCCGCCCTCACCGAACCAGAGAGCTCGAGGAAGCGTCGGCTGTATTGTTTTATACCAAATGCCTTTAGTAAGAGACCTCTTGTCAAAGTATTCTGACCATACTTTATAGCAATTTTCTCTTATCAAAGGCAGTAGTTCAGTATGCCATGGAGGGCAAGTATAAATCTCCCCGTCAGATCCCGCTTCCCCAGCCAACCGATCAGCTTCCTCATTTCCTTCTAATCCAATGTGGGAAGGTATCCACTGTAACATAATACTTTTGCCCTTGGCCCTGAGGTCAAAAATAGATCTTAAAATACTGTAAGCCATTGGAAGCCCTCGCACAGATAAATTTGAATGGATTAGGTGCAAAAGCGCACTTTTGAATCACAAAAGATAACAAAACGGTCTCCGTCTAGGGATTGAATATACATCAGAGCTTCCGATATGGCAATTAATTCTAAGTGCATAATTGACAGCTTCGATAAAATGCGTAATTTAAAACTTATGCCTATTTGTGAGTCAAAAAATGCGGCACCGTAACAATTATCCCTTATTGAACCGTCTGTATATAAACAATGGTATTCTGAATATAATGAAGATAAAGACTTGCAACAGATTGATCTTAAGTTATAGCTATTATATGTATTTTTTGGTTTGTCTATATGTTCTAAATTAGGTCTAATGTTAGATAAGTCCATATTACTGCCCCACATATCCATAGAGAATAAACCTACACTACCACTTGCATACACGTGTTCTCGCTTTAAGGCATCATGTGTAGAAACTAGAAGAGGTATTTTTTTATTTCTCCAGAAACGATTATTACTATGACTATGTAAATTGTCGATCAAATTAACTAACGGAGACTTAAAACTCTTACTTTTCAAATAAAATTTCCCGGCTAAAAAACGACGTCTAACAAATAGAGGAGATAAAGATAGCTCAGCTTCCATCACGTGAATTGGGGTGCTTTTGATGTACCCACCTATGAACCGTAAACAAATATTTTGCAACCTATCCAATTTTAATAAATGTGTATTGGCGCTATTGTCATATAAGAAGCTACCAAAGTCTATACGGCTACGAATCAATGCTATATATAAGCGCCTTAGGTGCTTGGGGTGGATACCCCATGCCGATCCTACCAAGATCTTAAAGATATTTATCAACTTGGTAACTCTTTCACACAATTCATTAATGTGTTTATTCCATCGCAGCCCCCTATCTAGCCAGATACCCAAGTATCTAACATTATCTACCAGTTGTAATTGAGTACCATTAAGATGTACGTCAAAGAAGGTCCTACGAAAACCTCTGCTAAATAGGCAAATTTTACTTTTTGAAGGAGAAACTTGTAAGCCTGATCGTGACAGCAACCTATCCATTAAATTAAGTGCAAGCTGGATTTTACTTTGACCCTCACTAATCGATGAGCATTGCAAATATATTGCGAAGTCATCAGCATACTGCGTTATGCAAACGTCGTTATTCTGAATTTGTTTACAGATATTTAGTGTTAAAATATTAAATAATAGCGGCGACAAAGGATCTCCCTGTGACAAACCCATACCAGCGCATCTATTAATATATATATTCCCGGATTTAATTTTTAGAACCCTTTGGTGTAAGAAATTCCATAAATATTTACAAATAAGTGGACCCACTCGAAGGTTATTTAAAATATCAATTAAGGCTGTATGATTTACATTATTGTAAGCATTATCGATATCCAGGAAACAACCCATCGTTAAATACCCCGCACAAAAACCTGACTGGATGAAGGTTATTAAATTACTTAAACCATCCAAACATGACTTACCTCTACGGAAGCCTACTGTGTTTGTAGAAAAAATATTTAGTTTTTCAACAAACCATTCCAAGCGTCGTAATATAATATAATGAAACGTCTTACATATACAGGATAAAAGAGAAATAGGACGCAAACCTGATGCGCTATTAATGTCGCGACCAGGTTTCGGGATAGGTATGATACCAATGTCAAGCCACTGTAAAGGAACAAAACTGTTCACTAAAAAAAAATTAAACAATTTAAGTAATACCTGCTTACCTGATTCAGGTAAGTGTTTAACCATCGAATATGAGATATCATCACATCCAGGAGATGTATCCTTATTTTTAATACATGTATTTAGCTCTTGGATAGAGATTTCACATTCTATTATGGAATTACTTTCATGGAGTGTGGGACATAATGGGGACACATAATCTGGTGTTAGAGAGTTGAGTAAATTAGTCTTACCTGTAACGTCTACATATTGCCTTGGCGAGCGATAACCTTTGATCCATTTCAATTTATGCCACATTTCGCTGGGAGAGGTATTGTGATCGATCGAAGAGCAAAATTCTTGCCAATGTGATCTTTTGGCTATTCTTATAAGTCTTTGAGCAGTATGAATGCGATTTTTAAGAATATCAAGGTTCTGTACGGTAGGATTACGCCTGAACTTAGACAACGCCAGCCTACGTTGTGCTACAACATGAGAAAGTTCTGATGACCAGTAAGGTTTGGAGATAAATTTAGAAGTAGGGTTTTGGTTCAATTTTAAATATGGGATAAAAAGGTCCGCGGCGTCATTTATGGTCTTAACAAGGAGTCATAACCTTTTTGTGGGTCACTTGGAAGGATAAAATTATTAAATTCTTTTTCTAAATGATTTTTATAAGCTAACCAATTAGCTTTACGAAAATTTCTAATAGATATAGGAGGAATGTGAAATGACAACTGGGATGAAATTTTAATTATTAAATGGTCACTACCCAAATTTTCGTTTAAAACGGACCAACCAACTCCCAAAGCAATATCATTGGAAATCAATGATAAGTCAGGGGCCGATTGTTGCAAGATGTTATCAACTAAACGAACACGTGTATGAGTTCCGTCGTTCAACACAAAAAAGTTACTGTCCATAAGCGCGTCATAAATGAGATTACCTCTGTGATCATTTTTATATGACCAAGTGGTATGGTGCGCGTTAAAATCACCTTGTATAATTGTATTATGTGACCACATAGATAATACGCTATCCCAATCCTGACGATTAGTAACAATCCTGGACGGACAATAAACAGAAATCACGTATTCGAAGGGCTTGCAATTAAATAATTGAACACATATAATCTCAATACCTGCATTGTTGAGTCGAACCGGTTTCTGTTGTGCTTTGATACTATTATGTAAAAAAATAGCTACTCCACCGTACGAATCATGTCGATCCGAACGATAAACATTATAACCGCTGATATTAAAATTACAAACCGGTTCGAGCCATGTTTCACTTAGTGCAGCAATATGAACTTTTTCTTGATTTAAAATTTCACTAAACGACAATAACTTAGGTCTTATGCTTTGGGCGTTCCACTGAATTACATTAAATGAAACCCTATTAGCCATCACGCTGGATATTCACTAAGTTCCACAATACTTTGATCATCGGCCACTTAGATATGAAGTTAACAATTACCAATACTAACCATTCTAAGCACAGTTGTATTATAGATTTCACTTTAGTAGAAAGGTTGGATTGCCTAAGGAAAATAATTTCTTTAATTCTAGAGAGTAATTCATTAAAGGAAGGCCTCTGATTGTTTTTATCATCCTCTTCATTATTACCTGGAAGTGGACTAGTGTAGTCTGGCTCAGAATTCCAAAACATCCAATCTTCATTAACATCACGCTTTCTCTCTTTCGAGGCTTGTTCTTTATCAGGATTTAATTTATTTTTGGATTTACCGGGTGAACTAAACAACTGTAATGAAGGGTGACCGTTAACTTTAGATTGAACCACTTCGGCATACGTAGAACAAGCCGTGGGTTCTGGGTTAATCTGTAATGACTTCCGACCAAGGGAAGGGAAAAGGTTCTGAGAGCTCATGTCTAACTGTGGCTGTCCTGGAGCGACAGTATCAAGTGTAGCTTGGCTTTTAGGAGAGATGTAACATTCCAAGGCTTTCCTGTAAGTACAACCAAACTCAGACATAATCTCCCTAATCCTTCGTTCTTTCTTATAGGCTGGACATGCCTTGCTCAACGAAATATGGTTGCCCTTGCAATTCACGCAAGCAAATATAAGAGACTCACAATTTTCATGAGGACCACCACATTTCGGACACACAACTTTCTTTGTTTGACACATTTTTCGACTATGACCTAACTTCCAACACAAAGAACATTGCGAAACTTGGTGAACATATGGTAACACTTTTATATGAATGTCACATACACTAACAAATGCCGGTAAAAAGTCACCTTCAAAACAAAGCCGAAGTGTTTCACTGGGGCACCACCCGCCATCCACTGTATTACGACGGTTTAATCTTCTCACCGATAATAATTTTGCAGGAGCAGGGCATGAAATGTTTTGCTGTATTTCTTCATCTGACAAGTCAAGGTCAACATTTTTAATCAGTCCATAGCTTAATGAAAGTTGCATAGACTTCTGAATTCTCCAACCTTTTTCTCTAAGCTTTTCGCAATTACATACATTATTCATAGCCAACTCACATTCAAATTGCAATCTAATTTTATAGGGGCTTAAATATTTGACCTGACTGATATTGCCGATATTATTTTCTTTTAAAATTCGTGCCAAAGCAAATTGCTTAGGAAGAGGATCTTTGTGTGATATATACACTTCATAATTCTCCTTGTGCAGTTTACTAACGCATTCACGACGTGTCTTTTTCTTGCCTTTTATTTCAGTCCAACTATCTTCATCTCCAGTACTTTCCTCTCTCTGTCTCTTTTCAGCTCTCGCCAATTCATCCCGACATACTTTATCTACATCTTCATTCTCATTATCCATTTGTTCTACATCACCATTATGCGTGCCACCGCATGACGATGCACTATCATTATCTTCCATAGTTTACTTATAGGGCCGAGTGGCCGAAAGAACCGGCCCACTCCTACCGCACGTGTGAACAATAACAACTTACTTTAAAGTTATTATCAGAACAATAATTCTACATAAGATATTTAATAACAGAAAATTTAAAAATATGTTTGTGACGTCCGATCACGAGATCCGTCAACGTGACACTGTTGTAGTTGAAATCATGAAGTTTCTTATGCACACACACTTGGGCACTGGCAGACATAATGTTGATACGTAAGTATTGATTTTTTTCCGGCACCGCCTATGGTCACCAGAGGAATTACGAATGAATTGCCGACCTTTTGCGGATATGACTTTCGAAGATTTAGGGATTGAAGAAAAAGAAGAAAAATTGCCCTTCCGGAAACCTCACTCACAAGGTGAAACACAAAGCTGTCATTGTTTCACGCCGATTTTTTGTGACCCGTGGTATCACTTCGGTCAAGCTGAACCATTCTAGCTGAAGATTAACTCTCTCACACTAAATACCACCGCTTTCTAGACATACAAATAGGCCTCAAAATAAATAGTTACTAAATATCTGAATACAAAAAACCTTAAACGATATTCAACTTAATTGTAGGTCATTTGGACTTCGAGCGCCACAGCCGATCTGGCGGCTACCGTACCTACCAAACATAAACACAATAATAGTAGATTTTATTATAAATAACAGTAGAGCTATTAATTCAAAAGTACCTCGCATTCTTGGACGAAAAATTTTTACGACAAAAGGAAGTCCTTTTTAAATCACTAGTCTGTTTTTTTCTGTTACTACAGGGGCGCTTACCATACCTCGGCTAAGGAATTTCATTCATTCACTGAACGTTTTGTTAGTAGGGCTGTCAAAAAAAATGAGTTCATAATAGGCGTTAAGACGACCCTTAGCGACATGCCGTCTACAGCGCCCACGCTTATACAGCACGTTTATTTTAATTGGGTTATAAAATTGTAACTAATCTTTTTAATCTAGTGAAATATTTTTGATTGTGTTTTGTTTCTTGTTGAAAAAAATGTTACCGATTCTATCTTGTACATTCATAGAAGTGTAGTTATGTATATGGAAATGTATTAAGGTAACTTTAAATTCACAATAGGAATACATACATATGACATGTTGTAAATATTTTTATTATTCATCAATGCGTAGTTTTACGACGGATGATTACTGGCTGTTATGTAGATGAACACTATTATAATAAATAACTATAGTAATAAATAATGTCTACACTATTATTGACAAATGATAAACACAATTACAATTCGCAACTGATTGAGTATTCATAACAATTATTTGTCTAGCCATAAACTTGAATAGTGGGATGCGAAACAAATGTGTTACTTCTATCGATACATCGATTACCGAAACGTGAACGCTATTATTAAGAATCGATAAATAGAACACAGTAAAATCTCTTAAGTGTTTTCAATACATTAATCGATTGATTGATAAACATTTTAGTATCGATTTTACAACAACCTGTATATGTATATTAATATCGGGTCTTCTGATCTATGAACATACCTTACCTAAAGGTGTTTGTGTGACGGATTTCTAAGAAGAATCTCTGGAATTATAAAGTTTTAGTGTTCCAAATGATGTCATTGATCAATATTGTTCAATCGTAATATTTTATACGTCCCGGATGTTATTGTTAGGTAAATTGTATTAGTTAATTATTTTATTAATAAGTATGATTCTATGGTAATAGGTAGGTACCTACTGGGAAGGTCATAATTTCATAATTGTTCATTGGATTGTACATAGGTTTAATTTATGATTCCAATTTTTGTGAAAGTTTTATACTACAAATGTTGGACAACTACAAAACGTAGCACCCAACGTTTATCATTTTATGACTTCTAATAAAGTCCCACAAAAAATTAAACAACCTGTATAAATAATAACAAAAAATTCGGCTCACTTTGTCACAGACAAATTACAAGTTGAATTGAAGTCTAATTGTCCGTTGTTGTTAACTGCACTCATTAATTAATTTCATTCAGACATCGGTTACATCATCCTTTGCAGTTTCGCTAACATTTCGGCAAAAAACATGAACTTCCCGTCACACACAAATAAATACCACCATTGTTGCATTTGGTTGGATGCACAACAAGAATGCATTACAAGAAAACCAATTTAATCAACGTAGGAGCATTATTCGTCATTTGAAATGTGTACAGCGACTGGGAGGCGCCGCTGCGTATTGTTGACCATCTATATATCAACTAAGTTTAATCGTCTCCAATCGCTTTGATCAGCGCTTGTATCGCGGCGCCGGCGCACCGCCCGCATTATGCCGCGCTCACACAAAAAACGGGAACAGAAAAAGGTAAAGTTCCTCAAACGCCAGGTACAGGCGTTTAATGCGAGCAGACGTATAAATCAAACCGAGGGCTCTAACAACTTATGACATAAAATCCTTTATTATTCACACGGATTCGAATAAAAAAGCATCGACGGTGAATAGCCGAGCGCGGGCGCAGCGCCGGCCGACGTTCCACGCATCGAATAACATTATAGGATTAAGAACACTTTTAGTTTCTTTTTTGAATGGAACAATTAGAGACGGACGTGATAGGTGTGACAAAAAATGTCTTAAACTTTTTGCTCCCCAAGGGATCAGCTTTATAAACCTGCCTTGGCTGCCTAAAATATGATTCTGGGAAATTGGATTAGTTGATGCGCGAAAATGTTTCTTTTTTTCGTTCTGTACAGATTAGGAAGAATCGATTTCATTATTATAATTAATTGAAAGTTATGTTACCTGTGCATACAATACATATACCACAATAAATAAATATAATTTATTCACATTGAACAGTTTTAATGCTAAACATTCGGTCCTAAATCCCACGATTGAGTAAGTGGGGCAAATACGAATAACGTCATATTTTACAGATTATTTTATTTAAAAGATTTTTATTCTATAAAGAATCAGTTAGCTATGTCTAGATGTAAATTATCAATGCTGAGTAACGCTTTATTAAAGAATCTATAAAGTCGATTATTCACACTTATATTTCCTGGGAAATTTGATACGGTTACACGTAGTTGAGAGTCTAGACTGATCGTCATCTAGACAATAAAAACGATATCTACTGGTATATAATGTATAACATAAACAATGTTTATTTTTAGGTACATGTGAACGTTGCAGTAAGTACTAAACCTAATCTAAAAATAGGTACATACCTACTTGACTATGGAAACAACTGTTTCACAACAAGATGTACATCTATTTATGTTTGTAACATTAGGTTTGTATTCACACACAACTAGGTAAAAACTGAATTGAATGGAACATGTAAATTTAAGCACCACTTCTAATAAATGTATTTAAGTAGTCAAACCAAAGAACGAAATTTCTAATTCAGAAACTTGATAATAATAGTAGGTAGTGACTTAGTTATAAATAAATTATTAAGATTTTTTTAAAGGAAATAATTTTTAATAGAAATGACCATCGCTCAAATTAATATAGACACATAAAAAATAAATACTTCACAAGACCATATTCTAAAATAGAATTAAATTTAGCTAGTTGGTAAGTATAAATTTAAAGTCTGTGTTAATAGCGAATAAGTAAAAAAAGGGTAGTTCATTTACATTTGAAACCCTGAGTCCTGAGCTAGGTGAAATTTGTATGACAGGAGACAGAGGCTTCATTCGTTTTTGGACCTTTTTTTTTACTTGCAATAAACTAGTGCTTGACTGCGATCCCACCTGATGGTAAGCAGTGATGCAATCGTTGATGGTAAGTAGTTTATTAAGAGCCTATTCACTCTAGCCTTGAAGACAAACTTTTTACAATACACTAAAAATAATACTTATGACTTTACTGCTTATTTTTCGTAAACTTAAATATTTTTATATTGTTTAAGACATACTTACTAGATTTTAACAAATATTGAAATATTTTTAAAGGAATACTTTTTTTATTGTATTCAATAATAAGTTTAAAAATAGACTTCTGAATTAGTAGCCTCTGACAGGCATTGTAATATTTTCGAAGAAATATACTTGTTATTGGTTCACCTCAAAATCGAAGACTTGCAATGTTTTTCTTAGAAGCTTTTGCTTATTTAAAATAGGTAGAAAGTAACATTAGACTATTGAGCGGCTTCACATCCCGCGCATGTTCGAAGGTACTCGAGGAAACAGGTTCTCGTGGTGCTTCCACTTTAATAATAGTATCACTGCACTTAGTATTACGACCTTTGAATTACTTTATGGCCTATCACAGCTTCCTCCTTGCAAACTGCATTTGAATGAGGAAAAATAAAATCATTATTGGTTGTAAGCGTCTAGTTATGAAAATGGAAAATGTTTCGTATAGTTTAAAAAATAGAGTTTTATTTACCATAATTGTAAATTATGTATACTTTTTTAAGAAGGGTGGAAATTATCAAAGGCCTTCTCAGGGTCTGAGTGGGGCGAGAAGTTGACTTTTACTGACTAAAAACTACAGTCTTTCTCTTGATCCGGGGGACCGGGCCACGGCCGCGGTACGATACGATATTAATACGATTGATAGGATTGATTGATGATTGACTGATAGGGACTTGTGGGGACTGATGGGGCCTTTGTTCAATAGTGGGCGTCTTCCGGCTTATGATGATATTGATTATCTAACATCATCGATATCAAGTATACTATCCATTGAACTAACCAACTCGAATGGTAGACTCAGCTTTGTTAAAGTCCTTCAGATCAGACATCAAGTCTCTCAGCCATTTTTTTTTGCCCCAAGGCGGAAAATCCTCATGGAGCCCCTTCGCCTGGGGAGAAGGGGACTGTCAGTCTTTTACTGACTAAAAACCACCTGGTTGTTCCGTTTCTCACGTGGGCGTGAGGACACGGGAATCAAAATTCATCCGCAGCCTCACTCGTGATGGCCTGTCTCCATAAGCCCACCTCAAGATGCACAGGGTGTGAATCTCCCCCGTGACTCGCCTCTAGGCGTGCGCGGACACAACGCGAT